TTATAAGAAATTCAAGCATATTTAAGGTGACTCGACTGTTGCTCGAACTTTCTTTACTGTATAAGATTTATACACAATTGCATGATAAATATCAATTATCCAGTTATCCAAGCGTCAATTGTTTGTGCAAGATGAAAACGTTTTCACTCATTCAATCGTGAAATGAAGATCGTTTTGTGAATGCTCTTTGTTATCTCAAATGCATCCATTAGAGCTATTTTCCTAACGCTTGTAGTTTAAAGGTTTGGTTGGCTTGCTTGCTTTGTTTGTATAAACGTTTGCTCAATATTAATTACAATGCTTAGGCAACATTTACACAATCAAGGCCAACCACACCTTTTAACTACAAGCATTAGGAAATTAGCTCTAATGACGTTTAATTTATAAGTATGCGATGTAGATTTAGACCGAAACAGAATCTTTGCTTTTCCGGTGACGTGGATTGGCTTAACTGTCCAAGATATATGTATTTAATGATGACGTGTCATAGGAAAGAATAAATTTTATCCTACATATAGATCAGGACAAATTATTTGAGACTATATTAGCATTAAATACCATGTTTAAGGAATTTATTGATATATTACCTCAGACTTTCACTCACCAAGTATGCAGATATTATCAATCCTTCTGACTTCATAAATTTTGTTAGAGAGTCTGCTGAATTAAGACTTTATATAATGAAAATTAATTAATTTCCTTTTGTGAAAATGCATCGCATATACAATAGAAATGAATCGCCCTACAGTGAAAATGAAAGTCTAGTATCATTATTCGACAGTAAACATGAATCGCATAACGAAAGTGGAATTTGATTCAATTGCAACAAGCTGAATAACAAAACCTGTTTTAAGTTAAACAACATTAATAATTATGTTAAAAGGTACAATTTTCTGCAAATGAAACCTAACTGCTACTTTTAAATCTCTTGCACGCACTGTTCGTGAACTATTCTTAATATTTATCTATTTGTGTATCAACTTTGCACCTGGATGGCGCGATGAAAATCCGTCCGCATCTCATACCTATATCATGAATTTATAAAAACAGTACAACTTATATATTATTTCTTATTTTATTCAAAAATCATAAATTTTTGTCTGTTTATTTATCATTCTACATCGGAAATTCATCACGGATACAGTGAAAATGACATTTCAGGATTCGCACATTACATACACTGTGTAAGGCCCCGAATGATGCATGTCGTTCCGAAATTGCAAGGCTGCCATTAAAAAATAAGATAATGTTATCCAGTTTTAAATTCTGGGACCATTTAATCACTTCAGAAGGAAGTTTAGTTCACCAAATATATAATGCTACAAAAATGAGCAACCCATGGGTTAAAAGGTTAAATATAATTATTCAAAATTGCGGTTTATCATATTTGTCAAACGTTAAACCCATTATTAAACCCCTTTTTGGTTTTATAAAACAAGGAATGATTGACCAGGGTTTTCAAAAACAACATGCAAATATTTCAGCACCTCCAAAATTAACATTTTTCCAGAGTGTTTACAAAATGAGTGAACGTGCAGCTTATGTTGATACTTTAGGAAATTGATCAGATCGATCCTCATTGTGTAAATTAAGAGTTAGTGCTCATAACCTTGCCATTGAAAGAGGAAGATATTTAAAAGAGCCCAGGGATCAAAGAATTTGTGAAATCTGTAAAAGTAGCAAAATTGAAAATGAACAGCACATGCAACTACACTGCAGAGGATACTCCAGTATCAGAGAGACTTTTATACTCAAAATGTCAAAAATTACAGAAAAAAGTATAACCCTATTGTGCGATAAATGTAAAATAAAGCTTATTCTTAATAACAAATCTTACACGGCACTAAAACTACCTTCCTCTTTCGTAACAAATTGTTTAAATGCGAGAAGTAATCTATTGCAATAGATTTGGCAGTGGCTATTTTGCCGGCACCGGCAATATAGCAAATATGTAGAAGCTTATATTATGTATAAGCATTGTTTATTGATGACACATCATAGTTTGCATGTGTGTAGCACATGTGTGGTACTGACATACCTCTGTTTGCATGATCACTCCTTATTTGGTTATAAGGCAAAGGAGTGATACATACCCTTCTCAAATTTCCCCAGGATGCTAGGTAGTTGTTCATTTTGAGTTTTGCTGCTGACAGGAAAAGTCATACATTAGTTATCATAAAGTTACAAAATATTCAAGTATAATATTAACTAGGTGTTAATATCCATATGTTATTGCAATATTCAGTTTTTGGACATTTGCGTTTATCTTTATATATGTGAGTACGAACTAAAAGAAACTTTCGATATTGGACTTTTGCGATTATCTTACTAAAAGAAACTTTGTTTTTTAAAATTGCTATATTTAACATTCACTTTCACTTAGCAATTTCAAAGAACATTTTTGTAACTGTTACAAAGATATTGAACTTTTAATAATTATGGCTTCCAGACGAAATTCAAGAAATCAACCGTATTCAAATAGACATTTGGACTTAATTAATCCAGACAATTGAACGTCACAGCAACTTAGGATAAAACTGCAGCAGTTGGGGATTGTTGTACCCAAAAATGTTGCTAAAACCGTTCTTAAACAATTTTATTTAGAAAATAAAGATCGCCAAAATAGCAACGGTAATATCGCCCAGAACGAGGAACATGTTAGTGATCCAGAACATGTCGTGCTGAATCCTATAGCACAACACTCCGGGAGTGCCGCAGACAGTACCGCGAATGTGACCGACGGATTGCGTAATCCAACAGCTGATGAAAGTAGTTCGCGGAGCGATGTCAACGATTCAACTGGAAGTGCACAGTTCGACAGCGTCGGTGGCAACAACATGGCTGCCATTATCCAATCTTTCAGTATAGTGTCGCAGTCTGTAGCACAATGCGCGTCAGGTCTCCAACAGACAGTCAGCCTTATCGCCAACCAAAAAAGTACAGAAAGCGGTCCTGCAAAGAAATTTGATCTAGCGCAGTGGTACCAGAATAGAAATATGGAGGACGTACCACTAGCCGTGCACGGATCCGTACAGAACCGCCCAACAATGCCACTGTCAACAACACCATCTCTTGGATACTTGTCGACAACTCTGTGCCCTACAGCTGGAGTCCGATCTGATGCATTCTCAAATGTGGATATTGTGTCTCCATCATTACAAAGGAGCATTATTGAGGGTAAGGATGTAAACTTAGGCGCTCTCCTTATTCCCAATTTTGAGTCTCCTGTAAACCATTCCATAATTGCAGACGGAGTGCATGTCAATTTAGCAAATAAAGCAGACCCAAGATTAAACAGGCATCTATCAATCCAAGTGTTTATTCAAGCTTTTGGAAAATTCAAAAGAATTATGTGTGGTGCCTACCCAGACCGTCGGGATTAATTAGATGCCTATGAAGCTGACATTATTAACATTAATAATTTCTATGGCCCAAAATTTTATGACTATCATAAAATTTTTACAGCAAAAGCAGCAGCACTTTTGAGGGAAAGGCATGTTAAGGTTGATTGGAGCCTTCGTGATCGTGACATCCTTTCTTTGATAACAGCGGGATCCTCAGTAAATGTGTGTAAAATCTGTAATTTAATTGATCATTCTACACAATACTGCCCATTGCAATCATCAGTCCAGGGTGAAAATTCCTCTTCAAGATCTCATTCATCTAGCAACCTACAATCCGTAGACAAGCAAGGTCGTTCAAGAGTATTTCATGAAGGTCGGGAAATGTGCAATAATTTCAATAATCCTAAAGGTTGTTATAGGAAAGTGTGTTATCTCCTCCACCAGTGTACAAAATGTCGTGCAACAGGCCATGGTGCCACAACCTGTAGGAAATCCAATAGCAATGTGCCTGTTCATTCTTCAACATCTTTAGTGTCCTCCAAGGGAAATAAATTGGAGAAACCAAATTCAGGATGACTATCCAAGGAAAAGTTCTTTTGTGAAGCTTCAACACCAGTAAATGTTGATAAATTGGAGGAAGAGTTATCATCACATCCTGATAAAAATTTTGTATTATATCTATGTAATAGTCTGAGACAAGGTTTTGATTGTTTAGTTCAAGGGGAAATTTCAGAATCTAAAGAGTGTAAAAATAATTTTTCTGCAAGGTCTCAGGTTTTAGTTGTATCAGAGTTAATTAAAACTGAATGCCAAAAAGGCTTTGTACATGGACCTTTTCAGTCCTTACCTTTTGCAAATTATAGAGTTAGTCCACTGGGTGTTGCTGAAGGAAAATACTCTGGGAAGAAACGTTTGATTTTAGATCTGTCATCTCCACATGACAATGACAGTTTTCTAAGTATTAATGACATGATTGATAAAGAAGAATGTTCCATGTCTTATGTTAAAATTGATGATGCTATAAGAATTATTCTAAAATTAGGAAGGAACAGTACACTATGTAAATATGACATATCCGACGCGTTCAAAATTTGTCCTTACTTGCCATCCCAGTGGCCTTTATTTTGTTTCAAATGGCAGTCTTTTTATTATTATGTAAGATTAACTTTTGGCTACCGGTCTAGTCCTAAAATTTTTGACACAGTGTCACAGGCAATTTGCCATATTGCAGAGAAAAAATATAAGATTAAGAACATTTTACATCTACTTGATGATTTTCTTACTATTGATCACCCAAGTGAAGATGGTGATAGAAGCATGGCTATAATGATGACAATTTTTAAACGTTTAAATATTCCAATAGCCAAACACAAGACTGAAGGACCAGTTACTTGTCTAGAGTATTTAGGTATTATTTTAGATTCAAACAAAATGGAAGCAAGACTTCCAAATATTAAAGTACAGAGAATATGTGAGTTTATTTCCAAATTGTTGTCAAAATCATCTTGTACAAAGAGACAGTTATAACAGTTGTTAGGACATTTTAATTTTGCCACAAGAGTTATTTTACCTGGCAGATCTTTTTTGTCGTTCCTAATTAATTTGTCAACTACTGTTAAACATTTAAATGAATTTGTACATTTAACTAAAGAATTTAAGGTAGATTTAGAATTTTGGTTGAGATTTTTGTCAAACTGGAATGGTATCACTATGTTTCATGATTGTTATTTCACTTCCAGTTATGACTTTAAATTATATACAGATGCTGCTTCTACAATAGGCTTTGGGGGATATTTTCAAGGCAAATGGTTCTCTTCATATTGGCCTGTTAATTTACCTACTTTAACTGAAAATTTGTCAATGGCTTTCCTTGAGTTATACCCTATTGTAGTAGCAGCATTGTTATGGGGCCACCTCTGGCCATGTAAAAAGATATTATTTTGGTGTAATAATGAAGCTACTGTTGCTATTGTCAGAAAGGGACGCTCTAAATGTTTAGAAATCATGAAACTTATGCGTCAACTAACATGGTGTGCAGCTAAGTTTAATTTTCATTTTAGTGCTAAACATGTACCTGGTCATATAAACCAAATTTCTGATGCTTTGTCTCGTTTTCAGATGACTCGCTTCCGAAAACTGGCTCCACAGGCAGAGCAGCACCCTCATATATGCCCAAGTGTGTCAGAAGTAATGTGGTCTTAACAAACACAGTCAACAAACTATGGTCTAATGCAGTAGCTATGAGGACAAGAGCTGTTTATGAGACAGGATATAACCATTTCAAAACATTTTTACTTTTAAATGGGGTCAACCTGAATGGGAACAAATTACCTCCTATATCTGAAGAACTTTTATTTTATTTTGTTGGTCATTGTTTTCAAATTCTGAAGTTACAATATTCTACTATTAAGCTGTATATTTGTGGTATTAGATACATGTGCCTCAAGGACGATATTCCCTCACCCTTTCAATCATCAGACAGAGACCACAAATCAATGGTTCGACTCTCTTTATTTCTAAAGTCGGTTAAACGTTCACAAAAACAGTCAGTTAGGCCAAGATTTCCAATTACTTCTGACATACTAAAGCAAATGTGTGTTAAACTGAAGAGAGGCTTTTTTTTAGAATTTATAGACTTAATGTTTGAAACTGTTTGTATTGTAGCATTTCATGGTTTTTTACGTTGTGGTGAATTTACTGTAGATAATGCATCTAACTTTGATTCAGAATCTAATTTATGTGTTTCTGATGTTACATTTTATGAAGATTTTGCAATTCTTCACCTAAAGCAGTCAAAAACAGATCCTTTTAGGAAAGGCATTGACATACAATTGCATAGGCTAAATTATATCCTATGCCCTTATACAACTTTAAAGAACTACTTGCAATTAAGATCAGTTAAAGGAAAATGTGCACATTCAGATCCATTGTTCATTAATGAAAATCTTTCAGCTTTAGAAAGAAAATATTTTATTACAAATTTAAAAATTTTATTAGAAGCCTGTGGATACCAAGCCGCCCTATATAATGGACATTCTTTTCGTATAGGTGCAGCAACCAGTGCTGGTAAAGCTAATATTGAAGATCACTTAATTAAAACATTGGGTAGATGGAGTTCTGATAGTTATTGTCGCTATGTTAGAACAGATAAATCTTCTATTAAGAACGCACAGCAACAAATTTGTGACAGTTAAATTTTTTACAGTTATTATGTATATTATGTATGTATATATATATATATAAATCTATGTAGCACTAAGATTACATGTTAACTCTAACACAATTTATTTTCATGAATTAGTCAATTGTGTGTTATATCATTAAACTATGTACAGCTTAAATTGTGTTTAATAGAATTCCACAGTGTGTAGTTGAAGGTTTCATTCCTTAAAACCCAATTTTTCCCATTTATTACCTTGGGGGTCACTCAGCTGTTTCCCACCTGACTTTTTGGACCCTTTCGAAATTGACCACTGGTCTAATTTCTCATTTCCCCCAAGTCATTAAATGTAATACATCTACATTTATTTCTCTCTCCACCGTCAATCTAACCCCCTTTTATCGTAGCCACCTGCTATGAGATGGAGCAACGCTTCATCCCCTTATAGGAACTCATCTGGTTCCGGTTGGTTGACGGAGTGTCCACGTCCATGGGGCTTGGTCCATCTATACCAAGTGTGGTTGACAGGGCCTGGAGCTAAATTTCCCTTTGCTGAGTACTTGACTCCCAAGGGCCAAATTATTTATATATTTTATTAATAAAAAATAGAAATTAAATAATCTTGTTGTCAGCAGCAAACTCATTGATATACTATTTGGTTATACTGGATTGTCTGTTTCAATCTTATAGGAATGTCCAAGTCTGAAGGTCACGTTCATTGTCAAGGTTTTCAACACTGCAGGGGTATGTTAAGAAATAAGTTACAAATACAGGGTATAAAAGAATACCAGAGAACACCTAAACAAGAGAGCTACAAATACAGGGTATAAAAGAATACAAGAGAACACCTAGACAAGAGAGCTACAAATACAGGGTATAAAAGAATCACCAAGATCACCTTTTAAAAAGAGGAGTTCTAACAAAGTCAGTTTACTTAATCATGAGGAACACCTAAACAAGAATCAACTAGCTAAACAAGGTACATGAATCATTATCGATAAACCACAGAAAATAGAATACAGACTTAACAATGAATAAAGTCATTACTTGCTGCATCCGTCGTATCGTCAATGTCATGGTTGCTACTGTTAAGTCATGGATTTCAGCCCTTCTGTCATATACCTAAGTCCCTGGAGTCATAGAATAAATAGAAGCTTATATTATGTATAATCATTGTTTATTGATGACACATCATAGTTTGCATGTGTGTATCACATGTGTGGTACTGACATGACTCTGGTTGCATGATCACTCCTTATTTGGTTATAAGGCAAAGGAGTGATACATACCCTTCTCAAATTTCCACAGGATGCTAGGTAGTTGTTCATTTTGAGTTTTGCTGCTGACAGGAAAAGTCATACATTAGTTATCATAAAGTTACAAAATACCCACCCACCTCCCTTTAATCACCTTCAACTACTCACTGTATATGGAAGCAGTCTCAGCAACCCAGTGGATTTCTTCAATTTCAAAACTCCCTTTCGAAATTGACCACTGGTCTAATTTCTCATTTCCCCCAAGTCATTAAATGTAATACATCTACATTTATTTCTCTCTCCACCGTCAATCTAACCCCCTTTTATCGTAGCCACCTGCTATGAGATGGAGCAACGCTTCATCCCCTTATAGGAACTCATCTGGTTCCGGTTGGTTGACGGAGTGTCCACGTCCATGGGGCTTGGTCCATCTATACCAAGTGTCGTCGACAGGGCCTGGAGCTAAATTTCCCTTTGCTGAGTACTTGACTCCCAAGGGCCAAATTATTTATATATTTTATTAATAAAAAGTAGAAATTAAATAATCTTGTTGTCAGCAGCAAACTCATTGATATACTATTTGGTTATACTGGATTGTCTGTTTCAATCTTATAGGAATGTCCAAGTCTGAAGGTCACGTTCATTGTCAAGGTTTTCAACACTGCAGGAGTATGTTAAGAAATAAGTTACAAATACAGGGTATAAAAGAATACCAGAGAACACATAAACAAGAGAGCTACAAATACAGGGTATAAAAGAATACAAGAGAACACCTAAACAAGAGAGCTACAAATACAGGGTATAAAAGAATCACCAAGATCACCTTTTAAAAAGAGGAGTTCTAACAAAGTCAGTTTACTTAATCATGAGGAACACCTAAACAAGAATCAACTAGCTAAACAAGGTACATGAATCATTATCGATAAACCACAGAAAATAGAATACAGACTTAACAATGAATAAAGTCATTACTTGCTGCATCCGTCGTATCGTCAATGTCATGGTTGCTACTGTTAAGTCATGGATTTCAGCCCTTCTGTCATATACCTAAGTCCCTGGAGTCATAGAATAAATAGAAGCTTATATTATGTATAAGCATTGTTTATTGATGACACATCATAGTTTGCATGTGTGTAGCACATGTGTGGTACTGACATGACTCTGGTTGCATGATCACTCCTTATTTGGTTATAAGGCAAAGGAGTGATACACACCCTTCTCAAATTTCCCCAGGATGCTAGGTAGTTGTTCATTTTGAGTTTTGCTGCTGACAGGAAAAGTCATACATTAGTTATCATAAAGTTACAAAATACCCACCCACCTCCCTTTAATCACCTTCAACTACTCACTGTATATGGAAGCAGTCTCAGCAAACCAGTGGTTTTCTTCAATTTCAAAACTCCCTTTCGAAATTGACCACTGGTCTAATTTCTCATTTCCCCCAAGTCATTAAATGTAATACATCTACATTTATTTCTCTCTCCACCGTCAATCTAACCCCCTTTTATCGTAGCCACCTGCTATGAGATGGAGCAACGCTTCATCCCCTTATAGGAACTCATCTGGTTCCGGTTGGTTGACGGAGTGTCCACGTCCATGGGGCTTGGTCCATCTATACCAAGTGTCGTCGACAGGGCCTGGAGCTAAATTTCCCTTTGCTGAGTACTTGACTCCCAAGGGCCAAATTATTTATATATTTTATTAATAAAAAATAGAAATTGAATAATCTTGTTGTCAGCAGCAAACTCATTGATATACTATTTGGTTATACTGGATTGTCTGTTTCAATCTTATAGGAATGTCCAAGTCTGAAGGTCACGTTCATTGTCAAGGTTTTCAACACTGCAGGAGTATGTTAAGAAATAAGTTACAAATACAGGGTATAAAAGAATACCAGAGAACACCTAAACAAGAGAGCTACAAATACAGGGTATAAAAGAATACAAGAGAACACCTAGACAAGAGAGCTACAAATACAGGGTATAAAAAAATCACCAAGATCACCTTTTAAAAAGAGGAGTTCTAACAAAGTCAGTTTACTTAATCATGAGGAACACCTAAACAAGAATCAACTAGCTAAACAAGGTACATGAATCATTATCGATAAACCACAGAAAATAGAATACAGACTTAACAATGAATAAAGTCATTACTTGCTGCATCCGTCGTATCGTCAATGTCATAGTTGCTACTGTTAAGTCATGGATTTCAGCCCTTCTGTCATATACCTAAGTCCCTGGAGTCATAGAATAAACTATTAAGCTGGCTCTGATTAAAATATTTCTATATAAATAGCTATTTTACCGGCACCAGCAATATAGTGAATTTGTTATTTTGCCAGTTCTTTGTAAAGAGTGAAATTTGATATTATTTACTTTCGAAAAGTACTATGAAAATGTGCACTGTCACCATAAAAGAATCAAATAATTACTGATATACCAGTAGTTAGACACATTTAATAGTTTAAAAACATTTATCAGTCAAAAGTGTAAATAACTATTAAGAATTTATAACAAGAAAAAACAAATCCATTTGTTGCAATGAAATTATATCTAAACATGTAGTTGAAATTATTTCTAAAATCAGTCAGTCTAATACGAAAGCCTATTAGGGTCACAAAAAAAATATTTATCGCGTAATTACGAGATATAAATATCTCGTAATTACGAAAAAACTATCGTGTAATTACGAGATAATCCTTTTTTATCTCGTAATTACGAGATAATCATTTTTTATCTCGTAATCACGAAATAATTATCGCGTAATTACGAGAAAACTATCGCGTAATTAGGAGATAATTATCGCGTAATTACGAGAAAACTATCGTGTAATAACGAGATAATCCTTTTTTATCTCGTAATTACGAGATAATTATCGCGTAATTACTAGAAAACTATCGCGTAATTACGAGATAAGAAGTATTTTATCTCGTAATTACGAGATAATTATCTCGTAATTACGAGAAAACTATCGTGTAATTACGAGATAATCCTTTTTAATCTCGTAATTACGAGATAATTATCGCGTAATTACGAGAAAACTATCGCGTAATTACGAGATAAGAAGTATTTTATCTCGTAATTACGAGATAATTATCTCGTAATTACGAGAAAACTATCGCGTAATTACGAGATAATCATTATTTTTTTAACTCGTAATTACGAGATAATCATTTTTATACGGCCGTTTACGGGACGTATTATGGTAAACCGTTGTCCGTCTGTCCGTCCGTCGTCAACATGTCGGGCATTAACTCAAAAACGCTTAAACTAATTTGCATAAAACTTTGGTGAATTGTTTGTGTCTATTGACGTGAGCTCCCTTTCGTTTTTTATAAATTTTAGATTTTAAGTTTCCGAGTTTTGGGGTTTTATTCATAAAAAAGGAGGATTTTTCTAGTTTTCGGACAAAAAATAAAAAATGCTTTCACGATTCTTATAAAACTTTGGTGAATTGTTTATATCTATTGATGTAAGCTCTGTTTAGAATTTTATAAATTTTTCATTTATCATTTCTGAGTTATTGGGTTTTATTCATTAAAAAAGGGGTGATTTTCCAGTTTTCGGACAATAACTCAAAAATGCTCTCTATTGATGTAAGCTCCCTTTACATTTTCATAAATTTCTAATATGACATTGAGAATTAATTGAACTTTATTTGTTTATAGTTGGACAACAGATTTACTAATTATTGCGCAACAGCACAGTGTATTGCACAACAGTAAGAAATCTTTAATTGAATATAAATTCAATTTATATAACCAATTTCAAGTTCCTTGACTACATTTATTCCGAAACCTATATTATGTCACATATTTAATACAATCCAAATTCAACCTGTATCA